AACGAATATATCGGAACGATCTTTGTAAATATGGATACGGAATTTTCAGCCCCGGTGTATTTCAACCTGCCTCCATTATCGGTACGGTACTTACTTTTTTTAACATGTCGAACTATGCCAACTCTCCGGGCTTAGATTAAGAATATGCAACAGTTCCGTCTTTTGGGGGATAAAGATACGCAGAAGATTCCACCAGATAAATCAGTGGATGAAAATGAGAATGCAAGCCAACAATGTAGCTGCATGGTGAGAGTTCTGACGATTGTCAACAGAATGAAATCTTTGTAAGAACTGAACGTTGCAGCATATCCCAGTGAAAACTTGAATTTTTCACTAAAATGATTTATCTTGCAATCATATTTCACGTTTAATGTTTCACGTATCCATAAGTCTGTCAATAGCGCGACGATTTTTGTGTAATTCTGCCACGGCATGTAAATTGTCTTTAATTGGTTTATTTACAAAAGTGCGACATGTGAAATATGAACTTTTTTCTTAAGAGAATGGCGGGCTTTTTCACGCCATTCTCGTAAGGTTATAATTTAGGGACGTAAAAAACTTTTTTATGCCAATAACCCGAATCCTACTGATTAGGGTTGTGGTCCTGATAACAGTTTCTTTATTTAAGAGATGTTTGAAAACTTAAACTTATAATAGTCGCGAAACAGCGAATTTTCACGAGTAAATATTGATGTAAGTATATTCATACTGGCGTAGTTAGGCAAAAGTTCTTCCCTTGTGCAAGTTCGATTGAAGACCAGAGAATGCGTTTTATTAAAAATATTCATGTTTGTTTTTTCAATGAGGCAAACCAAATTTCCTGTTAGCGCTGGGAGTTCAAAAAGCAGGTTATTAAATGACATTTTATTAGAACACGACGTTTCAAATATTTTAATATTCATTCAACTAAGTGAATATTTTGCAACTTCTGAATTTTCATTTTGAAGTGAGATTTATACAAAAATGGGTATAGTGGATACCGATCGAAAATTAAAACTTGAAATTATTCGAAAAAATTATTTCAATGCTCTGACGAATCCAGTGGCTTGTAAGTCAAATGTAAATTGAAGTACATTGTATTTCAATATATGAAACTCCAAGTAACAAACCACTGATAAAAACATAATGCACAAATATCCCTCCAAAATCTCATCGGTAAAATTCGTTGGGTAAATATAGCATCTAGGTAAAGGAAATAAATGACAAAAACAGACCGAGATGAGGTTTCAGTCGCAATAGTTGCGTCATCAGATTCGTCGCATGTTGAGTTAAGTGAACGTTAAACGTGATATCCGAATGGATTAAATGCATTCACATTTGTTTTATCTGTAGATATAGCCTGATCATAGTAGTCTATTACGAGGATCATGTGCGCAAAGTAAAGCTCAACATACCCAGGAAACCAACGGGGCCCAACACATTTTCAAAGCAGGTAGTAAAAAACTAAAATGAAAATAAGGGGACCTATCTATACAAGCTCAAAATAAGATGAAGAAAAGGAAGGTTTATGGTAACAAGTAATATGTTATAGGAAGAGGAATGCACAGTGGCAATGGTCAGACGAAACTGTCATCGTTGAATTTTATAAGATCAATATAACCTGGTTCAATTGATCACAGAATTCGAGTACTGGTTTTTGGGATCAAAATCTTGTGAGTAATTAATATTTGAAATTTAAGTACTAGTTCCATCACCGTGATTATACAAATCATCTGAGATCAACAACCCCGCGTCCGCTACCCGTTTTCTTGGTTGTGAGTGGATCCACTCGTTTACCACCGAATTTTCTGGGCCAATACTTTCAAAAAAAGTTAAGAGATCGTAAGTTCATCGGCCAATCATTGACGGAATTTCAAGCAAAATCCACAAATCATAGACAAGAACATAGAGCATAAGTATACTTACGTTCACTTAGCGTTTTAAAACTCGCTAAGTGAACGTAAGTACTTACGCTCTATTTTCTTGTCTGTGATTGGTGGATTTGGTTTGAAAAACCGCCAATGATTGGCTAATGAACTTACGATCTCTTAACTTTTTTTGAAAGTATAGGCCCTATTCTCTAAAGCCGATGAATAGGTGATCCGCTCACCGGTGAATTCGACTCGTATTTATTTCCACCAGTTGCTGCTCGGCAGCCGTCACGCGAGGGTGTGTGGGGTTCACCGCGTTGCCTGACCGCTGAGTGAACATCGAAGACCAATTGGTAGCGAGGTAATTATACGTATTGAAGCGGTCAATTGTCTCAGTAGAGACGAGCTTTTTTTTCTAACGTCTCATGGTTTGCTGCCTTATCATTGAAATGTGCAAGTACTTATATCATTAGTCTGCTTATATCGCAAGTTCACAAGGAATTTAAAAGCAAAGAAAACGCCAAGAAAATTCACCATATTGATATTGAAAACGTTTCGGAGTCCAGCTCCATCATCAGTTCGACTAAACTAAAAATGAATAAAATCACTTTAAAAGTCAAAATTCAAAGACAGACATAAAACCTAAACAAGACCGTCTTGTTTAGGTTTTATGTCTGTCTTTGAATTTTGACTTTTAAAGTGATTTTATTCATTTTTAGTTTAGTCGAAGTGATGATGGAGCTGGACTCCGAAACGTTTTCAATATCGATATGGTGAATTTTCTTGGCGTTTTCTTTGCTTTTAAATTCCTTGTGAAATGTGCAAGGTTTAAGCTAATTTTTTTGCCGTTTTCTTCCAATTGATTATTTTAGCTGCATTTTTCAGAAATTTTCATATTTTGAAGTTAGATTTCAACGATAATATCCGTATTTCTGGAGAGTCAGGGTCATATCAACGATGTATTTTCTTTTATCAAAATTTTTGACAGCTACTTATCAACAAGTCGACAATAAAAGTATCAGAATGCAAACAGCTGATTCAATTTCTTTTCAGTCACGGCTCGCCATCCACTCTTTCTAAAAGAAATGCACACATAGATTAGTGGAAGCAACGAGTTCCTACGATAGAGCAACACTTAGATCAACAATTAAGTTACGAGAAATACATAGTTGCAAGTCACAAGGTAAAATGAGCTGAAAATTGTTTATTGATTATAATTATGGCTCGGAAAATACGAAATTGTAATTATATTTGACATACGTTCAAATCATAGAATTATTCATAAAAAATATAACTCAGTACTCACTGCAGTGAGTGACAGAGAGCGCATTTTCTCGTCGACGAAAGCGCTGTCACGGACGGACGAACGGACAAACAGAAAGACAGACGGACAAACGGACATGGCGAGCACAATAGTGCATTTTTTCCATAAATGAGAAAATGCGCTAAAAATAGCGATAACTAACATAAATAACAACGAGATAGTACATCAAGAGAATTACTACAAATTTTAATTTAAAATAATTTTTTATTTGAAATTCATACATTTAGGCAATGAAATGTTATACTATAACACTTTGGCTGGAATAATTACAAAAACGTCGTCTGTTTTGACGTGTACTTAAACATCGTACTTTCCATTGCAGATGAGGGAGCTGAGCCTGTACCTCTTCCTCCTCGCAGGTAGGATGTGCGGAATTTTTTCTTTTCGGTGGTACACTGTACAGCAACTGAAGATGAATAAATGCATTTCAATGAGACTGGAACCATAGCTATCATCCATGATTTTTATTAAAGAAAATAATAGATTAACAGATTTGTGAGTCTAGCTGTTTTCCCCCATTTATAACACATTCAATATCAAAACTACAAGTTTTAATTTACCGAATGACCTGTGAACAAACTTCCTATGCGACAATATATAAAGAAATTATCGAAGAACATTTGCAACCGGCCAGACCGTAACATCAACGTCGATCGTAATTTGAGCATAACAACAAAGTCAAGGACATAATTTTAACAGTGATCGTAAACAGATCGTAATTTTAACGATGATCCTAGAAAAATTGTAACTTTAAATGAGCGTAAATAAGCGTAACTTTAACTTCGTTAACAATGATCATAACTTGACCGCAACTTTCACGATAAGCGTACCCTTATCGTAACTTCAACGATAGTCGCACACTGCCGCCAGAGGTTTTATTTCCGCTCTAATTTTCGTATTGCAAACAAACTTGGGGAAGATGTTGACATTGAAATATACTCCCTCCACTATACCTACACTCATTGTCACGAATCAGTCGATCCACATTGGAGTTTGAAATTCAGCTCTGTTGTCATTAATTCTGAGGAGCCTGTGCTAATTATAGTGAAAAAAATTATCATTCCTCATATAGGTATCAAGTCATCATTATTTGGAGCCAGCACAAGCACGTACTGCTTTCTTTGTTAGCTAGTTTGTTTGTTTGTTTATTGCGTTTCGTTTCTCGGCACACGAAAAAATTGGTTAAATGTATTAGTCTGGTCAGACTTGTGTTAATAATTCTTTTCGTATAAATTACGAGGGGTTTTATTAACCATCATCCTAATTCTTAGATTCTTTATTGCACAATAATTCAAAAATTGAATTATTCGTGAGAGCTGGGAAGCTTTGGTCCTAAAATATTATTTAGAAGATTTTGAAGCAAAAACTATAAGAATGAATATATGCTCCATGGCATATTAAAAAATGTATTAAAGTCAGGAAAACGCCTATCGCATTTATTTATTTATTTTCATTATCAGGATTTCCTCTTATACAGGGTCATTAATTTTTTCCGAAAAGGAAATGAGTTTGCCGCAAGATGATTAATCTGAGGTAATTGAAGGATTTTTCATTATATCTCTTCATCGAATAGACAGCGGCAATACAGACCTCATGACCTTATGATGAGTTCGGGACTTCCTAGTCCCCGGTCAAGCTGATGCGCCGCCTTCGTCGTCCTCCGTCTCCGAGTCGTCGCTAGGCTGGTCGCCTCGTCCTCGTGTCCCGGATGTAACGTTGGACGTGTTCCGTCTATTTGCCCTCCTTTGGGCCAGCTGATGCAAGATGCTGTTGCTTGTCACTTGCTGAGGGAAGTTTCCACTTACTGGACAATCCGGGATCTTTCTCAACCACTTGTCCATTCGTCTCTTGAAAGGTGGAAGAGTGAACTCCCCTCCTCTCAGCTCTTTTGGCAAGGCATTAAAGAGCCTTGGTCCTGGCACGGACTGTGATTTCTTTCGAAGAGTCTACTCTGGCCGCGGCTCGGTTATTCAATGGGTGAATCCTATACAATCTTCCCTCATATCGTTGTAATATGTCACTATTCTGGGAGTACACTCTCAAAGTTGTCTCACAAAGCAATCTAGTGGCATTAATAAGATCAGGTTTCAAAATATTCGGATATATGAAAAATTATGTTCCTCATAAAGCTACCTAATCGAGTACTCATGAATCATCCTACCTTAAACTCACGGTCACCAAAAAAATACATAGAACTATTTTCTTTTTTATTAACCATTCTGAATAAATTTCGGACGCCAACTCAGAAGAACATTATGTAACTGTACACATTACTTATTTACTCGGAACGGGTCAAAAATAATCATCAGAAACAGTCGATGAAACAAAGATTTTACAATCCTGTGACGTAAAAAAAGATGACCACGCAATGAAACGGACCTCTTGGAAAATTTTTCTCATTCATTTGAACAGAAGGTATTATTTGGGAAACTGAACTGTCGCGAGACATGATGAAATTAAAGTGGAGAAAGCTATAGTTGAACAATAAGAGTTCATCATCGTCGCAGGAGGTTTTCGTCTTTTTCTCGTCTGAAAAACAGAGGTAAGAAGTATTAAGATAGCAACTACATATCAAAGAGTATCTTTTTAACAACTTTTAAATAAAAATTGTAAATGTATATGCTAAGTCTAATTAAATTATTTTTAAGACAACAAACAGGAGTCGAATATGAACAGTCAATGACATTCATGAATATAGAATTGGCCATGGCGATAACAATCTTACGACATTTAATGAAAACCTGTAGTCGTACAGCTAACTTAATTTTCGAGCTCAGTTTACCGATTAATTCATAAAAATTTGTTTTAAGTCTGCTTGCCGTTAATATTTAATCGTCATCTATCAAAAACCATCGCCTGCTATTCTCTCCCCAAGGCAAAATTATCCCCTCTCACTTCAGTTCCTTATCTTGAGTGAGCTCCGTGATGGTGTCCACGACAGGCTGGCCGAGCGTCTCAGGGAGCCTGAGACACAGCGGCACCGCAACGAGACTGAGCATCCCGAAGAGTAAGGAGGGCGCCCAAGGCACCGAACTCCCCTGAAATAAAATTGAAAAAGAAAGCTATCGATAGTCTGGGGTGCCTAGTCTCTACAAAAGCCTAATGATGCTCGTGCATCTAAATGAAAAATAAATTTGACTTGAGGCGCAAACTAAGACGAAAATAAAATCCCAGTTTTGTTGTATCCAACAAAATTCCTCCCACTTGGTTGAATGTCAACGTACCAACGTGTCAATAATGAAAGGCGATACGATAGCTCCAAATCTCGACACGAACACCATAGAGCCGATGCCGGTGGAGCGAATTTCAGTTGGCAGCAGCTCCACGGCGTACAAGTAAATGATCTGGAACGCCATGCTGATGCAGAGCTTCCCTATCATAGCGAGTGTCATCACCAGCCACACAATCTCTGGGCAGAAGAAATAAGTTTCTTCACGTGGTGGAGATAATGTGATGCAAAAATCTGGGTATAATCCCTTGTAGAGATAATCGAACGGTTGCTTGTTTTCAATGGCGTAACAAATACTATATTCAATAGAAAGAAGAAGTAGAGGAGGATGTTTATTTTATATTTCCAGGATGTTCAAATGTTATGCAATTTAAAAGAAAAAAATCGTTCTAGTTAGTAAGGCAAACTGCGTGATCCCACCAGGGGCTGTCCACGCGAGAAGACCGAGCGAGACGCCGCTTGTGGCGTAGCTGAGTGCCGTGGGCCAGCGCCTCCCCGCGCGTGCGATGATGGGGGCAGGGAAGGTGTACCTGGGATAGGGTACGCATACAGTGAAAGCAGGTTTGCCCGCGCGGGCAACCTGCTCCAAACTGCCACAAGAATTAACATAGGATAATAATGTAAGTGTTCACAGTGAAAACCTGTACGAATAGGCTTCTGTATTCTATGGTTTCAGGCGCCAGCCTAAGCAGGTAACCAGCACGCAGGCAACCTGCTTTCGCTGTGTGAGTACCCTATGGGTACGCACACAGTGAAAGCAGGTTGCCAGCGTGCTGGTTACCTGCTCAGGCTGGCGCCTGAAATTAAAATGAATAGGCCTGTCGCTGGCCTATTCGTACAGGTTTTCACTGTGAACACTTACATTATTATCCTATGTTCATTCTTGTGGCAGGTTGGAGCAGGTTACCCGCGCGGGCAAACCTGCTTTCACTGTGTGCGTACCCTAAGACATATTCGGCTGGAGGTAATTTTTTGTGCAGCTGTGTCATATTGAAGGTATAGAGTAATTGGTATAGGTTGATGAACCATAATTACTTTTTAAAGATACCGTATTTGTGGTACGGTGTCATCATTTAGTTTCATTTACATATAAAAGATCCACGTTGTACTAAGAGGGGTTAATACAGGTACATGCATCGATGTAATCATGAATTGAATAAAGGTCAAGATCACCCACCTTACTTCAAATTGACTTTAGGTCAGGTTCAGTAATGTTATAACAAATTTATATGGAGATTAAAATCTTAGGCAGCATCATTATATTGAAAAAATCTTTTACCCGGAGAAAGCTGACTACCTCGAAGGAGTCTGTATCGCGGATTACCGTTCTCCATACCGTCAGAAAAAAAAACATTACTGTCGTACGGAAATTAATTTTCATTACCTCAATATAGATATAAGGTTTTGAGATTACCGGGAGGTCGAAATGACTTAATTTTCAGGTTGCCCAATAAGTCCGAAAGGTTCTAATCAGTAAATAAAGCGACATAAATTAGTGGGCAACATATGAGCTCTAAACAACGGTAAAAAATTTTATTCAAGTATCCTGCGTATAACTGAACAGCCATTGAAGATATTAATTGATCATGAAGTCAAAAGGCACATTTAGGCAATTTCAGCAGCGCACCAACGCAACGCAAACTATAAAATCTTGTAAAATTGCAGGCACAGCATTTCCTAAAATGTAATGTTGCATATTACCTAAAAATCCCTCCCATCCCACTCACCCCGGTATCTCCATGAGTCCGGTGAGCATCATGTAGACGAATGGGTTGACGCTGTAGGACACGGGTGCCATGGACAGCCCGTAGAAGATCATCGTCGCCACGACGAACATGAACCACATGATCAGCACGCGCTCCCGAATTGCTTTGCTGAGTCACCATATAATGTATGAGTCACCATATCAATATTGCATTGATGTGTATTACTTATAAATACGATATTTTATCGTAGTTCAGGTGTTTAATTAATCATTAATTAAAGAACGAATCATCAATTAATATGCGTCACCATATAAATAATGCCATTTAACGAGTCACCATAATTTATATAGTGACTCATTAATATGAGTCACCATATAAATAATGCATCAATGTGTATTGCTAATAAATACGAGATTTTATCGTAGTTCAGGTGTTGAATCAATCATTAATTAGAGAAATAGTCATTTATTAATATGAGTCACCATATAAGTAATGCCAAATAATGAGTTACCATAATTTATATGCTGACATTATATATGAGTCACCATATAAATGATGCATTATTGTGTATATCTAATAAATACGAAATTTAATCGTAGTTCAGGTGTTGAAATAATTAATCATTAATTAGGATATGTCCATTCATACGAAAAATTCATGCCCTTGTGAAAGCACAGGTGATGTTTAGTGAGGCCATTTAAAGATTCCCAAAAATCGTCAAGATTCCGACAATTTCAGGAAATTTTACTAAACTTACTGAAATAACGTGGAAATTTCCAGAATCAGTACTTGTAAATTAGTTCTGTCCGTTTTGCCGAAACCCACAGACGACTGAAAAATAGCGCTTATCATGAGGAATAACAATTAAACCTGAGTACTCAGACATTTTTTTGTTACAATGCTGATGATTCAAGGGGACAAAACCTCTGAATATGATTCGTTATTTGGATCAGTGAAATAGATCACTTATCTCGCTGTTAACTCTATTTGTTGAAATACTATATCAAATAAGTTTGAAGATTAAGTTAATGAGTTCGTATAATAAGTATCAAATAAGAATAAGTTCGTTCAGGATTAAGACTCCCGAAGGTGTTCTCATAATTAATTATAAACATTGAATTCCACCAATTATTGAGAGGATAAAGGTTTTTGACCTGATGGTTAAGCCTATTAAAGGATCTCCCAGGCCATAAGACAGTAAAATGTATACTTCAAGATCTTCAGATGCCACATTCCTAGGTAATTATTTAATTTTGTTCACATCATAGAATCTGATATCTATTCTAATCAAAACCTGAACCAAATAAGGAAGCTCATCAAATTATTATTTTCACTTCAGTACATTTCCTTGTATTAATTCATGGATATAATGAATGATGTAAGACTTTTGATTGAACGCAAGAAACTCTAATTTAGAAAACTATGAGCTCAAGCATGACTTCTACCTCGTGTGTGCTCACGAGCACAGAAATTAAATGCTCATCTGATGGCAAGGCGCTCATATTGAGACGTTCTGCTGATCGAATAACTGCAAGCGCCTGTTTTGTGCGCCCGTTAACAGCAAGCCAGCGCGGAGACTCGTCCAGACACCTGCAGAAAAAGAAAATATAACTCAGTACTCACTGCAGTGAGTGACAGAGAGCGCATATTCTCGTCGAAGAAAACATGAAGTGACGGACGGACAGACAGACGGACGAACAGACGGACATGGCGAGCACAATAGTACATTTTTTTCATAAATGAGAAAATGTGCTAATAACAATCTTCCAGAAAGCAAACGCGGATCTCATCAGAAATAGACGTAAATAATTTGACGTTAAGTGACCAAATAGCGGCTATTCCGGCGACAATTTTTGTAATAAATATAAATGCGGTCTGGGGCTTTCCGTAAACTAAATATTTCGTGATGTTGTTGACTCTAAGCTGACCATAATAAGCTGTTGCCTTAATCCTAAAAAAGGCCAAGTCAGCGGACAAAAAAAATACCGAAAAAGCCCACATTTCAATAGTTACTATAGTAAATTTGTAGGTTGCGGTGCAAAAATTCAATTTCTTCATTTGTACTTTTAAATTTTGAAATGCAATAAGGAAGTACCTCAATCATAAAATTTTTGCTGGCCTACGCAATTTAAAAAACTAAACCGCGGAATTTCTCCGAAAAAAAAACATCTGGCAACCCTGCAGACGACGTGCAAGTAAATCAGATATCTTAGAATATTTTTCAGATTACCGGGAGATTTATTATAGATGCCTAGCAAACTAGCAAAACTGACAGGTTTTACGAACTCTTGCTTGACATGAATTTCACAAACAACAGCAAATAATCATGAAAAAATGTCATGAATTTATTAAATGAAGAGCCACAACAGCATTTATTCCTCGGCAAAACGAAAAAAACTGTTAATTTGTTATCGATTTGCTGAATCTATTCTATCCGCGACATGATTCGGTGAAAGATATGTCCCGTTAGTAATTATATAATCAATCTCGGATACATTGACCAAATTGGTACAACTACCTGAAATTAATTTTACACGCAACAATTAAGCCAGAAAACGCTTCCTAAAATCATACATACTTCATCGAAACAAGTGCTAAAATCATATTTTGTGTTTTATTAATAAATAAATAACGAACTAGAACTTACCACATGAGGGGCAGGATCAGGACACACAGCAGGGCGTTGGTAAACTGCAGCCACCGCCAATCCCTGACGAAGTAGGCAACCGCGCCGTACAGGACGGTCGCCAGGCCCCAAGGCAATCCGTTTAGGATGCCGTACAGGGAGCGGTATCGTAGCTCACAGATCTCCATGCCTGTAGATTCAAAGTTAGGGTACCCACACAGTGAAAGCAGGTTTGCCCGTGCAGGCAACCTGCTCCAACCTGCCACAAAAATGAACATAGGATAATAATGTAAGTGTTCACAGTGAAAACCTGTACGAATAGGCCAACGCCAGGCCTATTTATTTCAATTTCAGGCGCGAGCCTCAGCAGGTATAGCTGGCAACCTGCTTTCACTGTGTAGGTACTCTATGACTGAGTTCCGACGGATATAAGGTGTGGTATTATTTGAAGAACCTAATGTAATTGCTAAGTAATTGAACAAATGTTAAGTTTTGAATGTATTAGATCACTGTCAATTTTATGTAATTATTTCAGACCAACATGCAGCAATCAATCTTTATGTTTTCGGAGTTGCATGGGAAAATGTTTCACTGAAAAAACTCTTTATGCGTGGCTGATTAAAGTAAAATAGAGTAATCCCTGCTATCGACGAACCTTTTTACTGAGGATCGGTAACCAATGATTTTTTAACCGTAGTATGTAACAAATTATACTATATATTCAATGTAGAGCTCAAGCTACTGATACTTTTCGATGGGGGAGTATTCACCGCAACGAAAAATTCTTGTTTAAAAGCAGGTAGAGAATTTTGTTGACAAAGAGGAACTTTGCGACTACATGTGAACGATCAGCTGGAAATTCTGAATATTGATGGCAAATTTTTTTATTTGTTTTCATTTCAAAAACTGCATTTACAATGGACCCAAATAGATGCAGTTAGTACACAATCGATCATTGCCTGAATACTCTACTTAGATTTGTTATTGTGAACTAACGATTTTGTCAGTCTAAAATGGGGCATAATAAATGTTGTAATATTACGAATATTATTATTATGAATGACTGAGATCAAAATTTACTAGCATAGTGAATTATTGAATTTTATTGTGAATTTATTGAACTAAATTTACTTAAATACTAATTTACTGAATGCTTACACAGGTTGTAAGACGAGCATAGTAATATTGGGGCGGTGAAGCCCATCAAAAACCGGACGAGGATGATCACGTTCAGGGACTGAAGCCAGTTGATGGTCAAGTCCCCAACAGAGAACATTGTCATCAACAGCAGTACGACTCTCTTCCTCCCGAACCTGTTGATACATTGTCATCAACAACATTGTCATCAACAACATTGTCATCAACAACATTGTCATCAACAGCAGTACGACTCTCTTCCTCCCGAACCTGCTGAAACATTGTCATCAACAACATTGTCATCAACAGCAGTACGACTCTCTTCCTCCCGGACCTATTTAATATTTTGAATTTTATTATGCGCATAGATATGTCTATGTATCCTATTATATAGTGAGTCATGAGCGAGGTAAAACAATCAAAATCAGGACATTTTCAAAGAGTTTTGCCATATATTTTTTGACTGTTCGTGATTTTATCGAAGAAAATACATAACTCAGCCTGCATTGAGTTATTTAAGGAAATCACGCCTGTTACAGGAACTAACTATGATTTTGAAGGTAAAGGTGATGAGTATAAAGGACTGACAGACAAGCCCGGCCTTGCCCCGAATAGGTAATCCCTGACATTCTAGGGTCCCGTCATACGGGATACAATCAATACTGCTCAAATAGAATTAATATTTATAAATAATGCCAACTTAGATCGAAATTAGGTATATATTTACCTTTGAATTCTAGTTGAAAAGTTAGGAGTAAATCTTAATTTGCCAGTTTAGACTAATTTGTTATTATAGTACATACAAAAGAATTATTATATTATAAATACAAAAAATTATGATAAATTATTAAAGGGTTGAAACATCATTTTTAAATGAATAATGATGATTTCAGATTTGAAATGTGTAACTTCAATAATCACAATATATTTTAATTATTTTGATATATAATATCACAATAATTAAAATGAACCATAAATAAAATGTAATCGAAATGATCATGAGCGTAAGATCGCAACTCTGCAGTCACAAACTTGTCGGACAAGAGGCCGCCCACGGGAGCGCCGGCCGCCGACCCCATCATGTACACGGACGAGACGAGGGCGCGCATGTGGGCGCTGCCGCAGACCAGGTCGAACTGCGCAGAGGGGACACTGAGCACGTGTCCCACTGAGGACAAGTTCTACCGGGAAGCTCAGCTCATGGTCAACTCAGCCATTCATCCAACTCTGGTTGATAAATGAGTACCTGGCTTGTCCAGGGTGTTGTGTAATGCAATCAAATGGTTCTGGCGGGTCAGCGAGCCAGTGATGGTCGTAGAATTATCAGTGGTGCCGAGTTCCCGGAAAAACTGACCTATCACCCCCCCTCCCTAGTCGCCACTACCAGGATGGGCAATTACAACAACAACAACAACTGCGCAGAGGGAGGTCATCATCAGGGCCCTGCTGCTAACTGAATCTATTACAGGCAGCAGGGATATTGGTATGCTGTTTAACAAATGATTATTTAATTAGATTGCTACTTTTAGACCATTCCTTTTAGACCATTAACTGAATATATTATAGGCAGGAGGGATATTGTTATGCTGATTAACAAATGATTTTTTAATTAGATTGCTACTTTTAGACCAAATATTGTTTTTTGTAGATACGTTTGTTTTATTTCCAGTGGAATTTCGTCAGATAAATACTTCTGCACCCTACATTGCGCTTTTCTTTTTAATATTCCAGAAATCTCTTCGAATTGCAGCAACTAAAAATTTTAACTAGTTTCGAATATAACCTGCTCGGTAAGAGTGAATTTAAATGTTGAGTTGTCGTACAGCCAATGAGTGCATGGCAGCGTGGAACCGTTAGTGCCAGACGCATAATACGTGCACTGGTCGGCAGCAACACAACCCGGTGGGGGCGCGCAGGTGTGGTTTACCGCCGGCGCGACGAACGCTCCATAAAACATGTTTGCTGGCATAAGGCAGTAAACTGGGGAATGCAGACAAAATTCAGTTAACCACATAACGTTTATAGCTAATTATCTAAGTCGCGATTATGCAAAGAATTATTTTAAATTTTTATAGCATTTTATGGCATTTAATTTAGTTAGTTAGTTATCTATCTGCAAAACATCATTTATTGACATTCGGTACTTTCAATTTTTGACACGAGCGTTTCCTTACTGCTGCTCTCACTCACATATGCTGAAGTACTTAACAGAAAATACAATCCTTTTTGCACATAATTACGAGTTGATGTAGGTGTAACTACTATTACTAATAGTAATAATACTAATAAAACTTATAATATGTAATACTAATATCAAACTTTTCTCACTGGTGGCGCAGATGCCCCAAATTTTGTAGTTCCATAAGCCTGTACCGAGGCGGGTGAGAACGCCGTCCAAGTTCCTGACCGGGCAGACCTCCGTTTCTGTCAGTTCCTCATTCATTTCGTTAAATTTTTAAACAACTTTCATGGCTTATTGGAGAAGTCCAAATACTTGAGTCGCAGAGCGATGGTCTTAGTTTACAGCATTTAACTTTATAGATAACCTCAAGTTTAGTCCTGCTGTCCCATTGAAAATGCCGTGATTTTTTACGCTCTAATGTGAATCTTATTGTCCGTAGGTAAAGCCATAATTTCCTGCATTGTTAGAAAAAAACTGATAACATTTGTAGAAGAAATTTCAGATTATCACAAAAAAAGAATTCTTGCCGTCCGTATATACGCGGTGAGGGCTGTTAATAATAATGAGAGAATTATTTAATATGCGGCAACAACGACGTAATCTCAATGAGTGACGAAATGCCTATGCTGCATGAGCCTATCTTTGCCGTTATTTAAAATTTTAAGTAAATTCACAATATCTTCATTAAAAACGCAGGTACCCTGACATCTCATCAGACACACAATTTCGTCATCGACACATTTCATCACTATAGCAATTCATCATTGGGACATTTCATCACTATAGCAATTCATCATTGGGACATTTCATCACTATAGGAATTCATCACAAGGACATTTAATCACTATAGCACTTCATCATAAGGACATTTCATCACTATAGCACTTCATCATAAGGACATTTCATCACTATAGCAATTAATCATTGGGACATTTCATCACTGCATAAAGTGAATATTGAAGTATAAGTACATGCACTGTAGGTGTAACTTAACTTAATCTAGTCAGCCTAACCTATACTTACCTAACATTACTTAACCTAACCTTAGTGTTGGTCACCAACTGAACTTGTTCCTGCCTTGAACTTAGCCCCATGAGGGCACTTGTATTACTCAATATAGGTCATTTATTATATTTATCTAATTACTCAGTATTTTTATTACTTAATTACACCAACTGTACATGTCGTGCACTTTGTACAATGATGGAATGTCCAATGATGAAATGCTATAGTAATAAAGCGTCAAATGAGGGTAAAAATAAATGCGTCAATGATGAGGGTAGATATTTAAGTGATCAGATTCATGTTATCTTTTATTCATTATAGTTTGTTATTTCTTGCCAGTAGTCTGGATCGTGACCCAAGTCTGAAGTAAATATACTGTACGCACTAATTAAGGATTAGGTGACCCGTTATTAACCAAAGGAGATGGACAACTGAAAACCTGGGGCAGATCCCTTACAGTGTGGGCAGTAAAAATTTGATAACAAAAACTTGAAAAAAAACAATTTCCATTTGGCGAGGAAGTTAATAAGAAGTGATAACGAACACATATTCCAGCTTTTAAATTGACTATCGGAATGATTCGAAGACATCTTCTTTAACATATAACAAAAAACCATTTTCCTCCAGAATTCGACTTCCAAAAATTGTCAGTGGCCTTGTAGATGAGAAATGCAACTTTTATAGATGTCTTTTACATTGATATTTTTCTAATAAAATGTCTTCAGACTTCCGTGCGATGTTGCCGGATCCGCTCTGTATTGCGGAATAGTAGTATAGCTCTATATAGGATCACTTGATCTGCGCCACCATACGGGAAAGGTGTGCACTGTGCAAGAGATAATTTGATATTTTTAAAGTAGGACGAATATTGTGTGCTTCGTTGTGACCTGGAATAGATTAGTGTGATGCCAATCTGCATAGCTCTAGGTGTGAAAATTTCTTCTTAGTTTTTATGATAAAGTTTTAGGCATGACCCATCGAGTATGTTTAGTGTCTATAATAGTTTTATCTCATACAGAGAGACCTCCAAATCGTGATCCGAAGCCTTGACTTCGCTTCAACTCACAAACACTCTGTTTATCTCGTCGTCGTTGAATGAAAGTTTCGCATTTGATTGTCCTTATTCTCTTGTCAGTTAGTGCGCTGATGTGCAAGAAGTGTGACGAACCGTGGTTGGGTTATTGCGGATAGGATAAAGTCTCACGTTACGCCCAGTCGGTAATGGCCTCGTAACAGCCTTCGAGAGAAAATAAAATGAAGAAGTAATAAAAAGTCCTGTCTACTATGCCAATCTACACACGCATTTAACACTTCTCTTTCCGATGGAATTCCGCATTTAAAAGAAGCTTCAGCAACAAGCCGGGTTTCTTTAGAACCCGAACACGTATGATTTAATAACGTTGGTCTAAGTTTATTGTGTATTTGGGACCAGCGGGGCAGTATTACTCAAAAGTGCAAGGAACGTCACAAAATTTATCAACCGATTGCAATCATCAGCTTAGAATACCGCAACAAATTCTAGGTAAAATTCGCGTCTACGAAGAAGTAAATTTTTCATAATCAAATCAACGGTAAATTTCCGTAATCTATACTATCCCGTTATCTATCTTGATTTTAAAAATCATTGAAAATCAAAGAAAAAAATCATCATTGAATTAGTGCACAAGAAGAAAGCAACATTAGTTCGTAAAATCAGCTCTGTTCCATTTTTCAGTCGCTGACGAAATGTAAACTCTCGTAGTAGTTGTGCTCCGCATATAGTGAACTGCTATGTGTACCTTGAGACAGCATCTGCAGTTTCTACATCGACTTCTAACAGTAATTTGATTGTACTTGTGATTCAAATTTGCACCCAGACTCAATCGTTAACGATATCCAAAACCTTTGTTTCAAGCCTAATTTCATTTCTATAGGTTCAGCAATATTTTTATAGGTACATTTGCCAGCGATTTTGAACTATTCACGACGCCCACCAAAGCTGCACTGCGTGCGTACGGCCCACGACGAGAAGGAAGCGCGTTAATTGTCTGCATTGACGGACGGACGGTGGGGCCTGACATGCAGGAAAGACGCAGATAATATAACAGCAGACAACGGGATGGTAAAGCGGCAGACGACTGGATGGTAAAGCGGCTAACGATTGGGATGGTAAAGCGGCAAACGATTGGGATGGTAAAGCGGCAGACAACGGGATGGTAAAGCGGCAGACGACTGGATGGTAAAGCGGCTAACGATTGGGATGGTAAAGCGGCAGACAGCGGGATGGTAAAGCGGCTAACGATTGGGATGGTAAAGCGGCAGACGACTGGATGGTAAAGTGGCAAATTGACTTGATATTAGCAGCTATTATTGACTTGATATTAGTTAATATTACTGACTTGATATTAGCAGCTATTATTGTATTGACAGGTCGCCTATCTTGTACGGACGAAATTTTCCTAAAGAATTCTTTTTTTACGATCAAGCATAATTTTCTATTCTCGGTCAAAAACGTGATAGATGAAAGCAAACATTTATCATACAACGCTTGAACAACAAATCTTTTAAAATATTTTATTATCAATCTATAAAATTTATAAACACATTGGTTGTTAAAACCTCCTTCCTTAAGATATTATTGCCGGGTCAAAAGTTAGACCCATCAGATATTACGTAATTTGTTGCGTATAACTTCAATACAAGCACAAAAATTTCCTTCAACTCTAAAGACTATCAACTTGTTCTTATTAAATAATTTCACGGACTTTCTTTAGCTTAGTTTTTCGCTTCATTGCAGGGAAATCGCATTTTCAGGCAAATTACGATACACAGTCCGTGAGAAATATAATGGGTAATAACATTGCCTTTCTTTCCAGGTAGCAGAACGCAAGTTATATAATATTATTAATTAGTAATTTCGTTTAAGGGAACCCTTTTTTCGCATTTTGAATGATATTTTGACAATTGAAGACGTGAGCAACTAGAGGCTCAGTCCGCTCCTATTAATACAGGAATAACAACGTAAGGCTAACAATGTAATGTTACAAGATATCAAGACGCAAATACGAATCGGAAAGCAAGATCAAATAATCATAAGTATTGCATTGCAAATAAATTCACACATTTTCCACCAAAAGAACACTGAATTCAAATCGAACATTGTAAATACCACAAGATAAAATTTTCAGTTCAAGGCATCTATAGTAATGCTAGAGGAAAGCATAGCTTTTGTAAGCACTTACCTTCGTTTTGCGTCTAATTAACCACACTTTCAGCTTTCGGCACTGGAAAAGTTATGTGTTTTGAGAAAATTATAACCTTTCCAAAAATCGACGGTCAAACGCAAAGAAACATCACAATTTTGAACGATCACGACAGGCGATGCTCACTGACTGGTTGATTTCTTGACATTTCTGTAATCTATCCGTTTCTTGATCTCAGCATTTACTCTTCTGACAGGTTTTACAGGCTCAGGAATAAAAATTTTGTACTCTTTTAAATTAACTGTCTCTAGCACTTGATTTAAACAATTTTCGTTATCATTCAACACCTTAAGAAATAGAATGAAGATCAAAAGCATTCAAATCTTTCCTCATTTTAAAATCACTATATAGTTACGTCTTAATTAAGCGCAGCGGAAGGAACACGCAGGAGTGCAGGTTGTGAGTCAGGCTCAGCGCATTTTCAACTTGTTTAGATGAAATGTTCGTTCAGAATCATTAACTATAATGACATAATCAACCTTATTGATGGGCCTCACTACTTCGAAAGCCCCTAATTATATAGGGTCTGCCAACGTTACTGGCTCCTGTAGGAAGCGATAAAAAAACGCTTCTTCAGCCTTGAACTTTATAGTATAGACACTTTGATCAATGGTAACTTTGCAGGACGAATACATGCAAACAACAAGATCCAAAAAAGCTCCATATATATTACTCTATCTTTCGTTTTTTGAACGCCCAAATATTCAGCTAAAATGGAGTCATGTGCTAATTTTATTACCTTCTTCCTCATTTCTGAAAGCAACACAATTTATTTATAAATATTCAACGCTAACTTCCTATCACATGCTTATCTAATCAATAGATCGTTCACAATGAAAATTTAGGCAAGTTTATTGAGTTAGCATTTAAAAGTTTGAAATACTTCTAAAATTGTTGGATGGTCGTTGCAAAGTATAGTCTTGGGTGATTATTTTAATAAATCGAAAATAATTATTTCAAATAAAGAGTATTGAAGTTACCGCATCCGATTCAAAACGTTTCTAACTCCTAGTTTGAACAGCTAATGGATTCATAACAGTGTAGTTGGTTTATACGTGCACATGCGACACCAGCAATATTTCCATTAAGAACGTCAAAAATGCAGCAGCATCTGTTTTACCTTGGGAAATACACAGTCCGGATTGACAAGAGGTTTAGGAGCACTTATTGCACGGTTATCTGATAATTAAGACATAGATTCTTGCCAGTCATTTGGTTTGCTGGCACAGGAGGCTACCTCACAAGAACAGTGCAGGTAGCATTCGTATCTCGCAACATTTTGACACTTTTTCACTTACAAAAACCAAAAGTTACGGCAACGATTGATCAACCCAAATCTCCAAATTTCACTTTAGTAAAGAATAAATTCAAGAATGACGATTTATAGATGAATTAGTTTTGGAAATGAAGCTCGCACTTGTATCAATTCTACCCTCAGCAAATTTAGATCAACAGAACTAAGTCAAAGTTTCAGGTTTGTCCCATTGCAAACAAATATTGGGCTTGCTTTGATCTGCAGGCAAATGAGAAGGACTGGCAACAGCATTACCAATTTTATGCTGCAATTATGAGAACTGTGATCTTGTTTCCACATTGAAATCAAAGAATAGGTTATTTATCCGGCGCAAAGATTAAAAGAAATTACATTTTGTTCCTGACTTCCGCCCTATATAAAATGTAATGCCTGGCAGTTGTCAGTCAGTTTCACAACTTTATCTAACGGTACGTAAAAATGCCGTTCTTTCACGTATATTACGAAAGATTTATATCAACCTAATTACCTAATTGTTGTTTAAGATTCAACTCCACAACATTTTCGACAGATTTTTCCTGCTAGATCCCAAAAAAATTCAAAATGATTACGTACAGGCCAAAAGATTACGATCCTTGCTTCGATGCGGCCTATCTCTCTCTCCCTCTCTTTTTCTCTCTTTCCTCATTTATTATCAATCCATCTTGACATTTAAGAACATATTTACCTTACTTTAGCCTGGACCGCCATCATTTACCATATCGTCACCATCACCATCATTCACCATATCGTCACCATCACCATCATTCATCATATCGTCACCATCACCGTCTTTCACCATATCGTCACCATCACCATCATTCATCATAATCATTTACCATATCGTCACCATCATCATCATTCACCATATCGTCACCATCATGTACCATATCCTCACCATCATCATCATTCACCATATCGTCACCATCATTCACCATATCATCACCATCATTCACCATAACGTCACCATCATCATCATTCACCATATTGTCACCATCATTCACCATATCGTCACCATAATTCACCATATCGTCACCATCATTTACCATATCGTCACCATCATCATCATTCACCATATCGTCACCATCATGTACCATATCCTCACCATCATCATCATTCACCATATCGTCACCATCATTCACCATATCGTCACCATCATTCACCATATCTTGTCTTGTCTTGTCTTCGGGCCGTCGATCCCCGTCAGGGACTTGCCCCCCCCCAGGGTCCCACACCAGGCACGCCCTCTGGTGCCTCGCCATATTGGCGACCGACAGCACCCTGTTGCACCCCGGGCACTGAGCAACCCTCCCCCTCCTGGCTCTCACCGGCTCCTCCCCCAGATGTGTATAAGAGACAGGAATGTTGGCACGCAATGTCCTATGTACAGAGGTCAATACCGCTGGAAAGTTGTAAATGTTAAGGNTTTTTTATGATTCATTTTGGCTATAATTTGCTACCTCGTAATTTTCGCAAGATTTATAATTCGAATTCATTTCTTTACAGTATACCTTAATCCGATCCCGAGACTGGCTGGCCTTAATTTTTTTGTACGTCACGCATTCGTCACCACTTTCTTTCATCGAGTGACCAACCAGCCATCTTCACCTTCACGTTCCCATATACTGAAGATTGCACTTTTGGATTCGGTGCTCATTGACTGAATATTTTCGCCATTATTATGAAGACGAATCATTCGAACTCAAAGTCAAGATTTTGTTTGATAAATTAAAATAAAAGCTTCCTTGATTATTTCTTTACTTTGACACCCTTTCGATTGTGTGAATACCTCACAACCTATTTGTTTGAAAGTTCTCGTTCAATCAAAAACGAAAAAAAATGTAAAAATTTGTGGAAATAACTTGACCAACTCATATCTATGGGAAAATTATTCCTGTTCCAAGGTAAATATAATTTGAGTGTTTGTGTTTACTATCAAGTTACTAGGTGGTTAGTATTAAGTATGATATAGGCTTTATTTCTTTGTAGGAAGACTACCGAGCCGCTATTTATGCCTTGCCGCTACTCTGCTCCGTTATTCCTGTGATCCGACTTACTACGAAAATTGTTCTTCGAATCGTGTTAGTGTTAATTACGAGTCTTGTCGTTCATATTTTTTGTATCGTTCATGAATAAAAAGGTTTTGAATGTCAGTTATTTAAACGTCGGCATGTAAGATTATTCCATATTTATAAGACGATATGCTGGGTGTCCCACATATATAAGATACTGTAGCATCTTCGACGTTGATGAAATAGTCCTGTTTAGGCCTGTTGCCGATTCTTGTACTTTTCGTGACTTGAAAAGGAATTTAAAGGCAAAGAAAACGCCAAGCAAATTCACCATATCGATATTGAAAACGTTTCGGAGTCCAACTCCATCATCAGTTCGACAAGCGTGACTTGTTCGACAAGCGTTTCGTAACTATCCAGTCAAAAATCAAAGGCGTATCGCCGGCGTTTTAAAGTAGATTTAGATCGAGACGATCGGACGGGGCGCCTGCGTAACATCTCCGTAACATCGACGAAGTGTCCACTTTTTAGGCGCGACCGCTCGTTCTTGAGCTGCATACGGCCTCGGGATATGTCTTAAGTTCTGCTGTCAACGTTAGATTTCTACATTTGTAGCACGAAAAAATGAACGCAGTTGTAAATGAATTTTTAGTTTTATTTTCTACCTAGGACTACTAATATTGACTGAACGGCTCGTCGCTTGTAGGCGTAAATTTTGTGTATGTTCACGTGTATGAAAACGAAATGGAGCAGTAAATTAATTTGCATCAAATTCACTCAAGGCAGTTCCACTGTAGTAAACTGGCAATTACTATTTTTTTAAGCTAAATCTTGTAATAGTTCCCCTCTAAATTGCTAAATTCTTCAACATGCAACAATGTATTGCTGACAAATTAAATAATTTGTATTGAAATTTAATTCATGATGTTTCATGTCACACATGAAAAATTCGTCTCGAACAAGTTTATATGAATTATAAGTGAGTACCCGCCAAGAACCAGGTAGCCGTTCATACGAAACATTCTTTTTAACTTGAGCATTATGACCCAATAAGAAAATATTTAAATATTTTTATTTGTTTTTTTTTGTGTTGAAGATACAAAATATTTGGTTACTCATACATTTTAATTAAATTTTACTCAAGTATTGGGGCCATCGGGTTCACCGATATGCCTTTGCTTTTTATGTATGCGATTATCCTGACGGATAAATACCACATTCAATGGGGATACAGGATACTTCCTTGTTATACAGAGGCTCGTCTGATATTTCCGATGTATTTGTACACTCGTTGGAGATGTGTTTTCTCGTCCTTAAACTGCATTGAATTTAACGACCCTACAAATTGAATGTCACAAAATGCTTATTAGATTACTTAATTTGATTTATCAAGGACATAATTGCAAAATCTTTTTGTCAGTGTTTCAGATCGTTTTTCTACCACTTATTGAAATAAATATTTCAGGTCTCGCTGTAGTAAATATTGCAGGTCTCGCTGTAGTAAATATTTCAGGTCTCGCTGTAGTAAATATTTCAGGTCTCGCTGTAGTAAATATTTCAAGTCTCGCTGTAGGAAATATTTCAGGTCTCGCTGTGGTAAACCTGCCCGTCATTTTTCTGCCATATGCATGCCATTACAAACCAAACGAGCATCATCCACCCGTGCGGTCTCTTTGAATCGATGTAACCTCTTGGCTGGAGACGATAATCATTAACATTGTTCGACTTTAAAAATTTTTAAAAGGTAAACTAATACCAATTTTTGGTATTCGTTTTCATTTCTTCCATTACCGTACATTCCTTTCTTCCATTACCTTACATTTCTTTCTTCCATTATCGTACATTTCTTTCTTCAATTACCGTACATTCCTTTCTTCAATTACCGTACATTCCTTTCTTCCATTACCATACAATCCTTTCTTCCATTGCCGTACATTCCTTTCTTCCATTGCCGTATGTTCCTTTCTTCCATTACCGTACATTCCTTTCTTCTATTACCGTACATTCCTTTCTTCCATTACCGTACATTCCTTTCTTCCATTACCGTACATTTCTTTCTTCCATTATCGTACCTTCCTTTTTTTCATTACGGCGCATGCATTTCTTCCATTACCGTACATTTCTTTCTTCCATTATCGTACATTCCTTTCTTCCATTACCGTACATTTCTTTCTTCCATTATCGTACCTTCCTTTTTTTCATTACGGCGCATGCATTTCTTCCATTACCGTACATTTCTTTCTTCCACTATCGTACATTCCTTTCTTCCATTACCGTACATTTCTTTCTTCCATTATCGTACATTCCTTTCTTCCATTACCGTACATTTCTTTCTTCCATTATCGTACATTCGTTCCAATTCATGCCTCCACCACTACGTCGAGTTGGTTCCGGAATACAGGAGTCTCCCCAAAGTATGGTAATTATTCTCAGTGATTCTTCATAGAAAGTTATCGCTCATAAATTCGCATTGATCACTATAGTAAATGGAATCTATATTTGCTTTGGGATCAACGGTTGGGAAATGAAAAATTTTAACGATGAAGGGTGCAGTTGGGAGCTGTCTCTTATACACATCTAGATGTGTATAAGAGACAGGGATGGTAAAGCGGCAAACGATTAGGATGGTAAAGCTGCAGACAACGGGATGGTAAAGCGGCAAGCGATTAGGCTGTTGTCTGTAGACGTGATATCGAAACTGATTTACCCTAAAGAGTGTGTTGCAGTTGCATCAATCAATCTTGCCATTATTATTAACTCATATTAAATCTTTTAAATTTCATATATCAATCATTAGAAGCATTTCGGCTGCCAGCATAGCATGCGAAATGATGCGGATCAAGAAAATCGCCCTCATGCTGTTCTGGTTCTTTATGACAAGCTCCACAAAACTGGCTCAGTCCTTATCATACGTTATTAAATAGAATTGGGAGCATAATAATTGTAAGAATTATTAAACTTTTTTTCGATTCTTGGAACGGAGAAACACTCTCAACTTCCAGCGATGCAGACCTACTAGCTGCTATATTCCTTAACCTTTGTTCATTCGCATTCATGCGGGTGTGTACGTTGTCCCTGCAACAGTGATACTGAATGGGACGGTGGCCGAGAATGAATAGAAAATGTATGATGTATATGTGTGCAAGATTGATGCCCAAGCTCATTTAACAATGAACAAATTTTTATTTCTGATTTTCGAACAAAAATTTAATAGGGGAAATGAAATTGCGACTTACGGTAAAAACCATAGGCGACGATGCGAGAAGTAACTATGATGAGAGTCGTGCTGGCTTAGCTTTTCCAAAACATCGGCGTTCTCCTAGAGCAAAATTGCTGCCGGGTTGATGATATTTAGTGGAATGAGATTTTCGTGAGATATTTATCTAAACTAGTTAACGATAATTGATATAATCGTGAGGTTACCTAATGAATTACTGCAAACACACCAGCCTCTGAGGAACATGTCCCATCCATCTCAAGTGCATCTAGCTTATTGTTGCACAATATTGTGAATGAATGATCTGTCATTAAATGCCTAAGTAGGTAGGAAATAACAGGGTAAATATTGCAACTGCGCGCTAAAACTAATACCAAATGAACACCTAATGGGATCGTACAAGATTGGTATTTCAGAGCTCCCGTATACCCTGCTGTCGTCAATTCACTCGTCAATCGGTCCGCAGTTATTGATGGGAGTGTGGTGAAACGGTTCAAGTGACTTTCATTCTGTTATATTCGGATTATCAACTAAGATAATACACAGTCTGAACGTCCGAGTTTACTATCACGCGATTCAGTTCATCCTAATTTTAAAGTCTTTTTCATGTTGTCTTGCGCGGACTCTCGTTGCTGGCCCGCTGCCGCCAAACTTCCCGTCAACAGGCACCGACGCTGTCAATTGGCGTAATTGTGATGTAAATTTAAAAATTTACGCTTTGACTTGAGTTTGAACAAAAATTGTACCACCCTCTATAAACTCGCTTGCAAGTTCTAATTAATATCCATCAGCAAGATAATCGTTCAGATTCGAACTTGGAAGCCGGCGCCTGTTATGACACATAAACTGCCGTTAAAGGTACAAATTTGTAGCAACGGTCACTGACAGTTGGCTAGCAAGTCCATAAATGTAGCTTTAATTACAGTAGATGATTTGT